ATCCAACTGGGAGGGCAAATGGGAGTGTGGATTAAGCCTTGGAAGAAATTATTCTGCTAAGAAATTCTGAGTTTCTCCCAGGCTTGAAGGATTTCTGAGCCAACCATTTTTTGAATGGCTATGTTGCCAGGAAGTAGGATCGAGGTAAGCTGAGAAAAACTTGTGGGATTGCAAGACTGAATTGAGATTCTCATATCATGAGTTTAGGTTCAAAGAGTATTAAGAGGACATTTTCTGGACTAGATGGTTACCCTTCAGCTGTCCTGCAGGGGAGAGGGAGAGGAACCTTCCCCAAATAAGAGGAAGTGGTAAGTTGCCCCAGGGCAAGGCTGTAAGGCACACATGGACACATGGAAAGCTGAAGAGGAAGGCTCTGCTTACGAGGGCACAGCCACTCACTTTGCCGTCTCTGGAAGCTCAGAGCCCAGGGTGATGGGGACAGGATGCACAGAGGCGCGGCTGTGTCTGGGGCTGTGCCCAGTTGGACTAGGCAAGCATGGGGCTTTCCAGATGACTTCTGCGGAGGTCTGACAAGCTGAGTCATTAGTCCAGGCCGTTTAGGGAGTCAGAAAGGTCGACGGCTCTGGGAGATGTCTACCTTAGACCGTGGTGGAGCTGAACAGCTCAAGTCTGCCTGCTCCATCCAAGTGCAGTGCTCTACGTGGCAGGTATGATGGTCCCTGGGTCAGAAATCAGTGGCCTCAGAAAGGATGAGTAATCACCCTGGGTGACAGGCGCAGGAAATGGCCACCTGCTTGTGCAAATAGGGTGATGGCCTTTCTCTTGGCTACATCAGGCGCTCAGGACTTAAGGAAAGTGTGAATGCCTTGGTTCCAACAGGCCAACACTTCCCACTCTGGCTGCAGATCCGAATCACCGATGGAGTTTCAAGAAATTCAGATACCCAGGGTCCAGCGCCAGAGATTTGATGCCCCAAGTTTTGGGTAAAGCACATCCTTTACCTTTTTTTTTTTTTTAAAGGGATCTGTTTTGGTGTCTCCTGAGGACTCTGAGGTGACACAATGGTGCGTGGGTTTAGGAAGAGCTGAATTTGGGGAGCACTGCAGGTGGCGGGGCTCCAGCTGTTTAGGGAGCACCTCCCGTAGTCAAGGCTCCACTGGAATGAGGACCTGCCCATGGGACATCTCTGCCTCCAGATCCCCTCAGCAGTGCAACTCCAACACACCCAAGCCAGCTATTTTTCAGGAACCCTCTTTGCTCCTCCTCTCAGTTAACCCCACTGCTGTCTTCTGCCTTGTCACCCGACCCGGGCTCTCCAGCTCGTCTTGGCTTCCAGTCTCCACCTTTCCCTGTCTGTCTAATCCTAGTTGAAACATGAAGAACTGTGGGGCTCTAAGGCCTTCCCTCCCTGCAAGCTAACGAGTTCTCCTGCCTCCATTTCACCAGTGCGGAGAGGTGGCGTGAGGCTCCTGGGTCAGAGACAGAGGACTTCATTACTCACACCCTGCTGGGCACGAGTTCCATGTTTGCAATGGTTCCTTGTGTCCGCTAGCCCCACACAGAACAGTAATTCAGGCAGATGCTGCACATACAATGAGGGACATTCAGCTTAGGAAACTCCAATCTTAGAACGGGTGTGTATGTAGTCCTGGCCCACCTTGGCATTATCCTCTGCCCACAAGGGCATTTGTTATATAAACGTCATTGAAGAGATAGTTTGAGACAAAAGTGTTCTCTTCACAGAAATGTAACAACACGATACCCATGGGGAATTTTCTCACAACAATAGGAACTCATCGCACCGAGCTATTAATCTCTTTGCTGTCGGTCTCTCCCTGTCTTTCTCTCTCTCTCCTGTTAGCAGTAGTTCTGGCTCCGGAACAAAACATAAAGCAAACATTCCAACCCTCAGCTTGCAAACTTTTGTTTTCCATTCCATAATAAAAAGTTGAAATGTCTAAGGCCCACCCCCCATCTGGGCTGCTTTACATGTCCCACCTTCTGGCTTCCACCCTCTCTTGTACGGCACCGCTGGCCCCTGGAGAGCCGAGTCCTCTCTCTACAGAACCTTTAACTCTGTTTATACCTCTGTTAACACTTGAACTTGTTTGCTTAATATAAGATGAATGAGTTTCTCATCTTCTCCCTCAAGGGACCATGTCTACCCTCTCATTCTATCCATGGTGTGTGATGTACATAATAAGTGCTCCGTTCATCTTTCTGTGGTGAGGAAGTCTGCTGGGTCAGCGAGTCAGGTTGTTTGGGGTTTTTCTGAAGTTTGAGAATGAAAGCTGGTAGCCCCAATTGTTTTAAACCTTTGGGCTTTGTTTTCATGAGTTGTTTCCCAGGCTCGTAAGCAAAACAAGTTGTCCTAGGAGATGTTGGTGCTGTAAGGATGAGCCTCGTGAATGAAGATTTTATTCTGCTCCCAGTAACAGGAAACCTTGCTCTGGGGCTTTGAACAGCAGGTGTGTGCCTTATGCACCAAGTCTGAGGGTCCTCAATACAAGGCTGGTTCTCAAGTTCCTTGGTGCTACTGACGGACGGGCTCTCCTCACCTTTCTGCCCCCCTGCCCCTAATGTGTAGGCTCTTATCCTCAGGCTTGCACTTCATGGCTGCAAGAGGGCTGCTGTACTTCTGGGGCCCATGACAACAGTTGGGTGCGGGAAAAGGAAGGAAAGGAAGAGGTGAAGGGGCCAAGGCCTTCGTGTAGGTCTTTGCCCTTTTATTCCCTAAGGATGCTCTTTGCAGGCACTTCCACAGAACCGTCACGCCAGCCTAGAAAGCTGGGGAATTGGAGCGTCTAAAGCTTTGTTAATTAGAACAGTTTTCTGTCAATAAAGAACAAGGGAGGTAGGATATTTGACAACTACCTCGTATATCTGCCACAAATGCCTTTTTAAATGTTTTTATCTTTCTATTATTATTTATTGACCCACAGTTCCTACGTGCACTGGCTGTGTAGACATTTGCGCCAAATGTCTATGTCCCTGACTTCTCCTTCCTCTTCCATGCTCTGCCTCACTTTCTCGGAAACTGAAGGTATGCTGTTTATTTGGTCAGGTTTCTTGCTGACACTATATTCCTCTTCAAATATGGCAAACGTGGGGAGCGCTGGCATTTTTGAGGTCCTGGTTAGGAACATTTAGAGAAAACAAGGTTTGACAACTGTTTCTGAGCTGTTGCTACACTTTATCTCGTGGTCGGTGCCATTCTTGCGGCCTGAGACCTGGAGCATCAGCTGTCCCAGAGGCTTTCCACAAGGGCACCACACTCCCAATGAAACATTTAGGGGCAGGGAGTTTCTCTCCCCAGGGGGCTTGGCTGAGAGTGGGTGGAAACTTCCTTGTATGAGCCTTTTTAAGTGGGGGGTTGGGTATCCTCAGACGTTGGCAGGTGCTGGAATTCTCCAAAGAGACACCTTCTCAAAGAGCCAAGTGTAATCAGCTTGAGTTAGCGGGGCCCCTATTGCATAAGCGCTCCTGACTCATGGGATGCAGGGGATGTGAGGACACTTTTGGCCTCAGGAGAAGGCCTGACTCAGCTAAGAAAGGGCTTTCTAAATTCCCGCAGTGACCACAGGGGCTGCCAGCCCTGTGAGGGCACAGGAAGGTCAACACCAGCTCCCTCCTACTAGCAGGATGGGGTGGGTGCAGGCTTGGGCGTGGCTTGCAGCTGTCTGTGTTCCTGACACTTGCCAGCCTGCAGCTGTCACTGGCCCTCAGAACATGACGTCTCTTCTCGGGGGGTAAACCATGCAAGCTCGCACAAGTCATAACAATGCTCTGGGGTCAAATATTCGGACCGCTGCGAGCCATGGCCTTTCCCATAGTGCTGCTTCTCTCCCCTAAGGACCCGTGTCCCTGCCTGCTGCCTGCATGGGAGCTCTCTATGGGGTCACAGACAGGCTTCCAGTGGCCATGGAGTTAAAGGGACTGGGGAGGGTAGGCCAGGGGGGATTCTAACAGGCTAGAGACATAGGTCCTGTCCAAAGGCGGCCACAGCCATGGCCACAGGCTGCTCTCCTAAAATATATCACCCAGGTTGCCAGGCCTCACCATTTTAAAAGTCAGAAAAATATAGTTTTATGCAAAATCATCCCAATTTTAATTCATTTTATTTATAGAAATTTCTAAAAATTTATTTGAGAGAGAAAGAGAGAGAGAGAGAGAGAGAGAGAGAGAGAGAGAGAGAAAGGAAGGAAGGGAGGGAGGGAGGGAGAGGAAGAAATATCAATCGGTTGCTGCACGTGCCCTAACTGGAAATCAAATCCTCCATCCCCCTGCATGGGATGATGCTCTGACCCAACTGAGTTAGAGCCGCCAGGGCCATCCAAATTTTAAATGTTGAGAGCTGTTCATTTTCCTCCACTTCTTTTTTCAAAATACCAAACCAAGATATATGGCCCCCCTGCCCGTTCGCTGTCTGTGGTCTGTAGGAAGAAATGGGTTAGCTGGGCCCTAGTGTCCTGGGAGTGCTACATGAGGATTGTCCTGGAAGAGGCGGCTCTCACCCCATGCCTCCCCTTTCCCTGCTCATGGTGCTGGGAGACAGTCACAGATCAGAGCGGTGGCCCGCAGGCTTGTAAGAGCTGCGCGGGTGCGGGCTTTGGTAGATGACAATGTTGGCAGGCAATTAGGCTCCAATGAGTGCTTGGAGGTGGGTTCTGTGCCCCCTCCTCCTAAGAGGCCACTCTGACCCACTGTAAGGGGGTGGTGAATAGTGAGTGGTGCAATGCCTAGGTGCCCAGCAGGGAGGTGCTGCCACTCTGCCCTTGCACTCCTCCTCCCTTGTGGTGGGTCCCTTAGGACAGCCATTCTCAGCCAGTGTGCCACGAGGATTTTTACAACACGCAATACTTCACTATCTAGTCAGGGGCTTTAACCATTTTTCCCTCAGATTGGATTGTCAACATGTGAATGAATCAAAATTACACTTTTTTTGCCAGCTCAGCAAAAAATATATTTTTGGGTGTGGCGCAGAATTTTAGTGATTGGTTTATGTGTGCCATATATGACAAAGGTTGAAAATCGTTACCTTAAGAGACGAGGGAGGGCTTGGCAGGAGCACTGAGTGTCCAGGAGGTGACAAAGATACCAGTGGATCCAGCAGGTGCCGAGAGGCCACACTGAGAAACTGACGAGGGGTCCTGACAAAGAAAGGAATTTGCTGATTTAGGGTTAGGATCTGGAAGTAGAGGCACTGACAGTTTTTAGTCTAGGAACTACCCTCGCATCGGCAAATGCTCACAACTTAGTACTTGAGGTTTGTTTTTCAAAACTGGAAACATGTCTTAATGTCCATATGTAGGAAAATGGCCAATTATAGAACATCCATACCCTTGAAGAATATGTGACTAATAAAAGGGAGGTTTGTGAAATAGAGTTTTTAGTAATGTGGAAAAAATGCTTGTGTGTGTGTAAAGGGTGTAGCTACCTGTGGCATATTACTTCAACCACTAAAACATGCACACACAGCGCAGTGGCCCTGGGGAGCCCGCCAGGACAGCCTTCTGAAACTCTTCATCACACGTCAGCCCCAGGTTTACCCAGGCCTGCGCTTCACAGAGGAAGGGACTGTCAGATCGGGTTACGAGCACCCATTTGTTCAGGTAACTGTCTAAAGGGTGTAGCTACCTGTGGCATATTACTTCAACCACTAAAACATGCACACACAGCGCAGTGGCCCTGGGGAGCCCGCCAGGACAGCCTTCTGAAACTCTTCATCACACGTCAGCCCCAGGTTTACCCAGGCCTGCGCTTCACAGAGGAAGGGACTGTCAGATCGGGTTACGAGCACCCATTTGTTCAGGTAACTGTCTCATGACTCCTGTGGCTCAGGGAAGGCACTGCCTCGGTTATCCTGGTGGGGGGAGGCGAGGGCAGGTGTAGAAGAGGGGAAGCAGGGTTTATCAGGTACTAGACCAGTGATGGCGAACCTATGACACGTGAACTCATTTTTTTGGTTGATTTTTCTTTGTTAAATGGCATTTAAATATATAAAATAAATATCAAAAATATAAATCTTTGTTTTACTATGGTTGCAAATATCAAAAAATTTCTATGTGACATGGCACCAGAGTTAAGTTAGGGTTTTTCAAAACGCTGACACGCCGAGCTCAAAAGGTTCGCCATCACTGTATTAGACTGTGGTATTTTGAAGCTCAGTGGTCACTCTGCTGTGTCACTTCCCCTAACTTCTGCTGGGCACTAGGAGGTGGAAACTGTGGATGAGAAGAGTGGAATGTGAGTTATTAATAACTTCTCCTCTACTTTTCTTACCTGCACGAAGAAGGAAATCATTGTAGGAGGGGCATGGTGGGGAGTAGGTTGCATTCTAGAACCTTAAAAAAGTGAGTGCAAGGTGAAGGAATCGTCTACTGATGGTTGGCTCCATTGAAATCAGGGATTATTTTGGATTCCTGCAGAGACGGGTCTGGAATCAGTTACTCAGGTTAATATTCCCTCCCCATTGTTTACCCTGATTAGGATGGCTCTTGGTATTCTTGGGTTGAGTTGCAATCTACATAGCTTTGTGTATCTCAAAGTACAATTCAACCTCCACTCCTTCACAATTTCTAATTATAGGTACTTGTCTGATGTGCCCCTGCTGGACATGGCAGGGCTGAACACTGTGAGGCTGAACGGAACAGCTATGGGTCGAGGACAAGGTGAGAAGGTGGCCAACCTGCTCTGGTCCTAGCGGAGCAATGCTGACCTTGGGGGAGCCTTAGGAGAAGGGGTTTGCATATGAGTGTATGGCCACCACACGGGCAGGGACCTAGCAGCAGGTGTGGCTCTGTTCTGTACATGGCAGTACTTAAAAACAAACCAGTTAACAAAAACACCATGTGACTAGAAGGGAGGCCTATTTTTAAAGTAGGTATGGTTATAAAATTCAAAGTGAACACTCATAGAAGGATATATTTTTTACAGTAATCTGAAGGTACACCCAGAATTTCTTTCCCTCAGAATTCTTTGGGATTCCTGGGAGTCAGTAAGTGACAAAGTAACTATACAACAGTAAGTGTTGTCTCTCAATTTTACTTGAAAATAGATTATATATATATTTAAAAGATCTATTGTTACATTCAAAGTTTATATACTAGAAGTCTGGTTAAAGCTTTAAAAAATTTTATCTGAAGATAACAGAAGTACAATAAATATCTTTAAAATTATTTAATTAAAAAAAATTCCCATATGTGGAATCCAATGAAAAAAATAAGTGTGGGAAGCTGCCTATTGTCTTCACTAGCAGAGTGGTGTGGACAAGGAACCCCGAAGGCTGGTGATCCTTGAAGCCCTGGCAAAGGTCAGAGCTGTGCACCCACTGTTAGTCCAGACATGGTGGCTGAAGCAACTTCCCCATTTATTATTATGTAAATCCCTGCTGATGGGCTAGTCTGCCTGTTACTGGAAATTGCCTGCCTAAGGGCTATGGGCGTATCCCAAACCAATAAAAGGTTGGCGAGGCCTAAGCACCAGTGGAAGTCCTTCCCCTTGAGTTGGACTTGCCCACCTGGCCCAGCAATATTTCCAAATTATTATTTCTTGTCTTTTTCATTTGCGTGCGGCCCTCTTCCAGATCCTGAACCCTGAACCACGTGGGATGTGGGGGGAAACAAACAAACACATAAACTTTACACAAATAAGCTGATGAACAAAATCGATCCGGAGACATAGAAACATGGAACAGACTGTCAAACCTCAGAGGAAAGGCAGGGGAGGGTGGGTGGATGGGAAGAGATAAACCAAAGAACTTGAATGCATGTATGCCTAACCCATGGACACAGACAATAGTGTGGTGACAGCCTGGGGTGGGAGGGGAGAGCGGGCTAGAAGAGATCAATGGAGGGAAAAGGAGACATATGTAATACTTTCAACAATAAAGATTTAAAAAAAATCCCAAACCCCAAAGTAAGAGACTTCGAAGTATGACCAAGGCTTATACTTTCTTGAGGATCAAAAAATCTAGCTAATTTTCTTACAACCTAATGCTGAAATGAAAAATTTTCTATATATGTGACCAAAACCAATTAGACACTATGAAGTGTTACACACCACTGAACATGGCTTTAACTCTACGGCTAAGCAGATTAAAATTATACACATGCCTACCAGAAAAAACACGGACCTCTGAGCATGGACAAATTCCAAAAATGTTTTCTGAGGTCTGGGATAAATCACTTCTCACCTGAGCCCCCATTTCCGTGCCTTAACCCCCCTACTTAAGCCATTCTGATTCCTTGAAAGCTGCATCGATGAGGCTGCAGACGAGAGAAACCAGGGAAATCGCTGTGTGAACAGTGCTGCTCATGCATCACTCGGATCCTCTGGTTGCCTTGGAAAGTGGGAGACTCTACACTTCTTACTGGACAAATATGACACCAAGCAGCAGGAAAGCAAGAGACTGAAAGGACATCAGGGGAATTGTATCCATGCCTACATGGTCCAAGTTTGGCCTAATTATAATGGGTTCCATTCTATGAGTGAATTGTCATTATACTAAGTTCCTATCTAGTGTTATAAATAGGAGTATACGGTCCATCTTTGACATGCCATTAGATTAGAATCTCTGTAGCCATAGTTAAAAAGTTTTGGTAAAATATTTGTTTTCTAGGCAAAAACAAAGTGTGGATAAGGAAATAACGAACTTTTAAAAGTCAACTAAGAAGGAAATAATAAAAAATTAGTTAAATTTAGAAAGGAGCATAAATTCTACTCAGGACTCATTTTTTTCCCCCTTCAAATACTGTAGCTGGCCACCCATGACATATAAGAGCAGTTACCCTTGGAAACCTCCAATATCAAAGGGATCTTGCCTGTTTAGTCAAGAATCATAATGACAAGTAGGCCAGACAAGTGGATTCACTACCATCTGCCTTCATGCAAAACACATCCTATATAATAAAGAGGTAATATGCAAAAGAGGCAACCAGGCCAATGTGGGGAGCAGTTAGGGACAACCAGGCCGGCAAGGGGGACAGAGTGCAGTTGGGGGCGACTAGGTCCACAGGGAGGGGGCAGTTGGGGTGACCTGGCTGGCAGCAGGGGGCAGTTAGGGGCGGCCAGGCCGGCAGTGGGGGCAGTTAGGTGCAACCAGGCAGGTGAGCGATTAGGAACTAGCGGTCCAGGACTGTGTAATGGGAACGGGCCTAAACTGGCAGCTGGACATCCCCCAAGGGGTTCCAGATTGGAGAGGGTTCAGGCTGGGCTGAGAGGACCCCACCCCTCCCAGGTCACGAATTTTGTGCACCGGGCTTCTAGTACCATTTATATTTAAGAAAAAGACATATACCAGGTACATGAAGAGGTATGTATATAAAAAGGTATATTTTATATATACTGATAAGTAATTGGGCAGCAAGGAAAATGGGAAGGGGGATTTTGTTTCTATATTGAGAAAAAAACTCATAGTGTTATAGCCTCATTTATATTGACTTAGTAACAATAAAATTTAAGATTACTGAGCTACTTACTGTTCTTCCCACTTGACATATGAAGAGAGAGGAAAAGGAAGTACTAGTAGGGACCTATATTCACGGCCTGCTTCTGTAGACCTGGCCACCTTAGTCTCTGGGGGAAGGAAACAAGGGGTTACATTCTTCATTGGTGCTCCTCAAAGTATTAATGGACTCTCTGTCTCCCATTTGGCTATTCTTTGAGTTCCTTTAGCTGGGAATCCTGCAGGGGGGACAGGGGAGTGTAGATTAGGCCATAAGGTATCACAGTTCCATCCAACTTTACCTTCAACCTCTAGGTTTCAATAGTCACAAAAACCCTGGGAAGTAGGGATCATTATACTCATCATATAATGATGGGAACATTAAACTCATCATATTAATTCCTTACAGGCCCAGAGAGTAAGGCATTTGGTGATGAACAGAAGCAGGGTGTGATACCCATCAGACAGTATCCAAAGACCTTTCTCTTTGCACTTATCACACTTTAAGAATGTTTAGTCTAAAACTTAGACACACCTATAAAACATGTATTTACAAAGCTTCACAATATATAATTATGCATGTATGTATGTAAAATAAGAGCTCTCATCTTTGAAAAAAAAATCCTCAGTTTTCCTGGCTACAGCTATGAAATCCCTAAAATCACTAGGTGCTTTTTTTTAAAAAAAATATATTTTATTGATTTTTCAGAGAGGAAGGGAGAGAGATAGTTAGAAACATCGATGAAAGAAACATTGATCAGCTGCCTACTGCACACCTCCCACTGGGATGTGCTCGCAACCAAGATACATGCCCCTGACCGGAATCGAACCTGGGACCTTTCAGTCCGCAGGCTGACGCTCTATCTACTGAGCCAAACCAGTTAGGGCAACTAGGTGCTTTTTAATAGACACTTGTATAATTCAAATGTTATGTCTTCCTAGAGTTAAGAAGTGGCCTATAAGCTTACTGATTCTATTAACAGCTGGATATAAAGGGTAATGCTCACCAAGGTAATACACATCTTCACCCCTTATGTTCAGCAGAATTAGATAATAAACCTTCTAATGATACCAACGAGCATTTCTTTTTTAAATGTTCACATGCAGGGTTTCTCAGAACACTTCACAAGAATGCTTACGTCCGAGAGCTGCATTCTATTCCATCCAAGAGGAAATCGTTTTAGAACTGAAGAGTTTTGGTCCACGTCGCCATGGCTATCAGTATGCTTAGCAAGGGCAACACTGGATTGTGGGCCAGTATTTAGTCAATTTTGCTTTGAGTACAATGGGGTTGCTGTTTGGGTGAGGGTTAACAGGATTCCAAGGAGCTAATGCTGCGGGGAGAAAAGGTGGGAACACATTCTAGTGCATTTCACTCACCCATCTTCTTCCGGAACTCTCATTTCTGGTTTTGCTCTTCATCTGTGCTCTAGTCCTGGCACAAGGTGATAATTCAAGCTTTGTGGTGCTGCACCTCCCATTCTCTCCCTTAGAATGCACTCATAGTGGGTAGCAAGCTAGAGGTGGCCTCCATTAAGATAGAGGTAAGGGTAGTACTGTCTGTGGGCTCCTACCCACTGTTATGGCATAGCAGCACATCACGTGTGATGCATTCGTCACTATAAGGGCACAGGCTTCTGGTCTCTTGTAGAACAGCTGCTGATTTGAACTGCATGTTGTTTTGCTGGAGAGGAGTTTCTAGCATATCAGCAAACTGATTGCTGGCAGTTGACAGAGAATGGCATCTCTCAAATCTATTACTTGTGGATGCCTCTGTTCTGAGGTTTTCTGTATAATGGGGAAGGATCCTGCCTTCAAAAAAAAAAATCTCTGAAGTCAGACAATGATCTAAATCTCAGTTTCTCTAGCAATCTATGTAGAATTTTTTTGGGCAGTATGGATGTTTCATGGAAATCAGAATTCATTCAACAAATATTTATTGAGCACCAACAATTGAGTAAAGCACTGTTCTAGGAGATGGAAATAGAAGTAAATTACACAAACAAACCAAATGATGCCGCCATTATGGTTTGATATACAATTTATTTAGTTATTAATATGGACAGTCTTTACATTACAGATGTCTTTCAAAACTATCATAAAATATAGTTAACTATCCAGTCCAGAAGAAGATAGTAAACAAGATCCTTCTTGCAGTAAGTGTACATACAGCAGTACCTTTCTTGGGTACAAGAGAATAATTAGTCAAAGGGTTCTTTACCTCCACTGGGGTTTTAACTTTCTTGTATTATAGCTGTTTCAGAGTCCAAAGTCCAACTTTGATTGCCTAGAGATGTACACCATCTCATGTGGGGGAAGGAGCCTCTACCCTGGCTGCCCATCTGTCCTGCAGTCCTTCCACAATGCAGCCTATTCTACCTCTCAGCCACTGTTCATCAAACTTGGGCACAGGGAGAAGGCAGGTATGTCACAGGGATGCTTTGATTAACTTACAAAGACTGTTTCAAGCTCTAAAAATCCATTTGGTGGTGGTAGTGGCAGTGAAGAGTACATTATGGTTCTCCAAGGAGGTCTTCTCCTTTTCCGGGTCTTGGCGCTGTCACCTTTTTTGAGAGAGCCTTTAAAATCTGCAGTTCCCTGTAAGAAGTGGAGGTGGGGACTCTAACAGCTACTGGTATGAGGCCATCTGCAGGATGAACTGTACTGGCTATATGGCTTTATAACCTGCCTCCTTTCTTTAATCTAGACAAAGATTTCTTAATGTTTTCCTATGTCCTGCTAGTTCTAATATGATTTTACAAGACTCTGAGAGGAAACCTTTTGCTTTTGAGCTAAATGATGAAAAAAAGGGAAAAAAATCCAGTCTCCAATGAGCTATATTTGTTTCCTTAGTTGAAAACAAATGCCAAAGTGACTTTTATAGATAAGTGTTGGACAACCCTGATTAGTTGATGAAAAAGTTCTAAGGTGAAACTGTATATATATAAGAATCTAAAATACAGCCAAAAATGCAAGATATACTAGTGTAAAAGGGAGTCTTCAACCCCATAGTTTCATACTGAAAACTACAAATGTTTTCAACATCAGGTTATTGATGACAGCCAATTAAACATGAAATTAAAAACCCCAGGAAGTTCTGCCAAGTTTGTGGCATTTTCAAGAGTCTACATAGTTAGGAAGAAGGAGAAACCATAGTGTAAAGAGTGAGAGCATTGGATTTTATTTAACTGTAGGTACCATGAGTTTGACATTAGTAGGTAAGACTAATGAATGAACAGCCATACAGTTTTTTGGTCACTGTGCTTACCAAGCACCAAAAAAGGAGCTATTTTTACTATTCAATATCATCTTTAATAAGCTAGACAGATTCTGCTGCATTCTTGTTTCTTGCTAATTTACCAGTACATTATTATGTAGTTTACCAAGTGTGAGGAGCAAGTCATTATGTAGTACCAAGTTAACATCATCATAGGACTACAACATGCACATTCTACTTAATGTAGCTCAAGCAACAGGAATACAAAAGAACAATTATGGGTGGAGACTTGTTTTTGACAATTTCATGTTCACACTAACTATGGGTTTAGAAATCTTATTAGGCAGGTACCTACAGAGTTCTTCAATTGGTATTGAAACATTACACGCATGCACAAGTGATATGGGAGAGAATGAAGCAGAAGAGGCACCTGGATGGAGGACAAAGGGGAAACCAGAGATAGGATGATGCCATGTATCAGGGAGAGAGAAT